GAAAGGAAAGCAACCAGGTACAGAGAAACTCGGTTGCCGTTACTTTTTGTTTTAAGTTATTTAAAATATATATGTAAATTTAGAGTTGCCGGCACATAAGCGGAAAAGACAGGAATTTGAGGAGTCTGATGGTAAGTGGTTCCGATTGCTTTCTAGTACAGCAGGTCGACCTTTCCATGGTAAGCTCGAGCTGGCGTAAGAACGCTTGAATATTGCCACAAGTCAGCATTACATCTACTAGCCATTAACATGTACTGTACGTTCTTGGCAGGAAGTGATGATGACAACTATACATGGTACAGGCTGTCTCCCCCTACGGGCAAACCAAAACTGCCGGCAATTGCGGCCCGAGAATTGTTTCCTCAAAAGATTATGCGTAGGTTACCCGTCAAAGACCCAAATAATCGCATTTGCATATTCCGGTATTGACATATCATTTAGGAGCCGACAAAGGTGATGACGCCGATTGCCCTGCTTACGGCAAGGAGTCGACTCCACCGATGAAAGTTAACAGAACCGTTTGCATGTAAATATGGTGCTCTGATTACTTTCAGCATTCGCTTGTGCTATTTTTCAATGCATCTCTTCTGTTCGTAGATTTTTACGCTGAGCGACGTGGCGGCTCATCAAAAGTGGAGAAGCAAGCTAGCGGTACAAGTACTTATTAAACAATTACCTAACCGTTACACCGGTAAAACCATATTTTTCTAGGCACAAAAAGTGCTGGGAATGCGAAACACAAAGGTGCGGCATATCCTATTTCAGATTTTTTCATACAGATGCTGCACAGATAAGCATGGTCTTTTTTCAATAATTTTTAATAAATAACTTTTATTGGATGAGGTCGACCTTTTTCCGTGAAGTTTTTTTGATGTTTCACATAGATTCTATGATGGAAGAGCAAAGAGAATTGGCTGAGAGCTGTCGACAGCAGCTGAGACTGAAAACCAGAGAGAAGGTTGCGCTCTATTCTGGATCCGGAGTGTACTTGCCGAAGGGACAGTTCATCAGTTTCGAGGCCCGCTTAAAGCCAAAGAATGCCCTCATGGACGGTGTCAACCATGCGGCGATGTTTTTCCGCAATACAGAAACGGCAACCCGGATCTTTCGGGGAGACCATTATGGCTTGAAGTCTGCGCTGGGGACAGATCTGATGGGCGAATTGATGCTTATTATTTAAAATTTCAAAAACCGCTTATGACATTATCACCATGGAAAATTTTTGATCGTAGCTTACATCAATGGATACCATCCAGCTACGGCCGGGAAACAGTTGAAGATCCAGGAAGCAGAGCTGATCCGGGCTTTCAGCCATAAGCTGTACTACCTGCGTAATCATGGGAAGGGGTCGACTCCACGCAAAGGTTAAGCGTTTCCTACGAAATCAGTGTTAACTTTGGCGCGATGATGTTTTATTGGCAATTTTACCACTGGCGGAATACGTCGATTTAGCGTTTTGCATTTATGACACCCACTAGCATATTTTTGATACCTTACGTGAATACCAAAAGTGCACGCGATGTTTTATTTTTATGCACTTTTTGGGTTCGTTTCCTGTATCTTTAGTCTCCGAAATGTGTTGCACTGTTACCTACAAGTGTTACTGCGAAACTTACAATAAAACTTCTAAAAACGAGTTCCAGATTAAGTTGGTAATTGTAAGTTCTACACTAACTTTGTGGCACAAAAAGGTATAGCTGCTGTTCAAAAATTGTTACAAAAAAACTTATACATTTTCGCGGGGGATTGCTACCGTCACCCGGCTGGTGTTTTACGTTGTGGCTAAACATGGCGCTTATGTACCGCGCCAGATTTAACCATATGTACTGCCGTAACGTCACACTCCAGGCGGGTGACGGCAGCAATACAGGGGAACCGTGGAATACGCTTAGTTTTGCCCCCTATATAGATACTTTTATTCGTATAATGTGGGTTACCAATCTAACAATATGGTTGCTCGCAAACCGCCACGGTAACATGTATTATCAACAGCGCAAGGTTTTCGTCTGACGCTGCAGGCCGAGTAACCGGTTTCGTTTTTTTTCGAAAAGTATCCTCACTTCGATATTTATTTCTCAACAGCCGGCCAATTCACTACGTATAAGTTTCGAATACCCGGTCACCTGGATCTTTTGTTATCTATTTCCCAACTCTATCCGTTAAGAGACCGGATATGGCCGCTAAGCTGGTTTACCTAGTCGTTGTTTGAACGGGGATCAGCAGTTATTTATGCAAAACGTCACAGCTGTTGGACCGGGTTGTTCATAATGTTGCTGTAAAGTAAGAGTGACCGGTTGAGAAATGTGGAAGTACATATCCTAACGTTCCTCTCATTTTTTCTGCTCACTACAAAGTTCACCAACGAGGCCTTAGGCCCGTCAAGAACCACCTACTAAATGCATTTCAGCAACCATACTATCCCTGCAAGCTACGAAGTGTCTCGGGGCAACCGTTTTTATTGGAACTGCAATACTTTGTAATGGTATTGTTGCTTGGAAATGGAATTTCCGTAACAATAACGAAATATCGCGGTAATCGTAATTTTATTTTTTTTTACCCTTCCTGAAATATGAATGGCCCCCTTGGGGGCCGGGGGTCTCTTCATAACCGCTTTTTTATTTTGTTAATCTGCCCAATAAATTCCACAATAGAAGTAAAATCAGACAATGATTCAAATAGTAATCTGGGCCCGCTTTCCTCTTCTAAAAGTACAAAAACTGCTTTGTAAGGTTGAAGCAGCGCGCCTGACGGCAATGTGCATTGTGCATAATGCACATAAAATTGTTTGAGTTGAAACAAAACTAATTATTATTTTACTGAGGAGCTTTTGTACCAATCTCGTACGTTTTGCACTAAAAAGAATTATTAGAATGATGACAAGAGATTATGTACCAAAAATTCTCGTGAACATCCAATAAATTGCAGTTTAATTGCAGTTTTTGAGAATCTGGTCACAGGATATGGCATTGCTAAGGATAATACTTAAAAATTGCAATAATAAGTTGCTGAATATTGTACAAATTTGTGGACGCTAATAAGATGAAGATTCCATTTTGGTGTCTTCACCTTTGCACCGCATTAAATGGTAGGTCATGCTCGTACTTTTCAGTTTGGATGTACGTCTATACTCTATAGCTTTACAAGCTCGTATTCTCCAGTTTGCACCGGTTTCAAAACTTTTTTGGTTCGCTCATCTTGTACGCCAGTTCGGTACTAAGCAGTTGTAACTAATGAGTACTTGGTGGAAGCTAATGGTCAAAGTACTGGGTACAGTAGTGAAAATGCTTAAGCTTTCATTCCAGCAAAAGCTCCGCTGTACCTTATATGTAGTTTCCATGACAATGGTGGCCACACATATTACTCACCATGGCACATAGGGGTCCTCCAAATTCAGAAAAATCTCATCTTCTGAAAAAAGATAGTATAGTACCCAAGTATGCTTAAAAAAATATTTTCAGCTGCTGTAATTCAGATAGGCGTGGCCAGCGCAAATTAAAACAGTACGCAATACCGCATACGTACTATGTTATTTCAATCATCAATGCACAGCGCAGGCTTTATTCATACGAGTACATAGCAGTCATTGCAAGACCATTCGCATGGACTCGGGCAGCTGCACAGCACCGAGGCAAGTGAAACCCGCGTGCGGTCGTCCCTGTCATCGCTTTCAAATTGCCGACTTTCAAAAATGTGCTATTATCTATCATGTGTTATAATTACACTACGGGTAAAAAATGCGAAAAATTTTCTTGTAATAATTTAACACACCAATCCAGAAATAAACAAATTTTGAAGTTTGACAGCGGTGGAAGGGACCACCGCAAAAAAATTCAATTAAGAAAGAGAATTTTTTGTTAGCTTGTGCTGACCATAGGTCAGCGGTGGTGACTATGTTGCCTGCTGACAACAATGCCGATGGACAGTCTACTGCATACAAACGTATAATTTTGTAATAATTATAAAAACAGGAAATACGTAAAATCAATAACTTATTTAACTACCCCAAAAAAGTGCTTCAAAACAGTAGCACATAAATGGTCAACAAATTGACCACTGGTCAGCAAAAAATTAAAACCTGTTGAAACCCTTTTCTTTGCATTTTGACCACTAAGAGTACTAGATATATAAAACATAGAAAACAAGCGATGCTGACAATATTCCTTCGCAAACTTTCATCCCTCTCTTATGTGACATTTTACGAAGCAGCCTTTGTGGAATTTAACATTGCACTTGCTGCCTTGATGAACACGCCGAGCCGCCTTTACACTGCGTGCATCATTCGGACTTGCACGTTTCCTGTGTGGCCGCAGACTCGCAGTGGTGGGTATAGGGAAAGCGGCGGAAATGATCCAGCTGTAAAAGCGATTGACGCCGAACCAAATATTAGTAGTCACGTGCACTTTTTCTAACACATTATCGGCCGGATCAGGATTTAACCTACATAAGGCTGTCGCAAAGGTCTTCATCACCAATTTGATCGTTCCAGTTTGCAATCGCCCGAGACTGGCCAAAACTCAAAATTCGCATGTTTCTTTAAAGCTGCGCGGCTCCATCGCTTTGCTTGCCCAAGCGGCATTCGGTATCGAAGGCAGAGAGCAGCAGAGTGCAGGGTTGTGCTGCCATTTCACCGTGCTACGTACAGTGTCGTACACTGGCGGTAGAATTACAATCAGAACTAAAGCATCAAGACTGCCATGCCGACCGCCCGGGGTGCCGTTCTGGTATCCCATTTTCTGCTAGCTTTCAAAACCAAAACCTCATGGCGCATGTTTTGCGTCCGAACCGACAGCAACTTACTCCGTTTACGCAATGAAAAGTATCTGTCGAAAGTGCACCCGCCCGTGTATTCATAACCCTTCATGGGCAATGGTGCCGGAAGGCGACACACGTTTTTAACGGATTGTGGCCATCTATGGTTCGACTTTTAGAATCCGCATTAGACATTTTCGAATAAAGCGTTGTCAGTATTACCTTGCTGATTTATCTGGGTTTAATTATTCATCCACCAATTAGTTAATTAGCAAAACCTACGAGAGGTCAGAAAGTTCAAAATTAGCAATTTTCGCTCATCTATTGTTCTTAATTAACTGAAGACACAAGTTCAAATTATGTTTTTTTTGCTGCTTTAAAGTCCCTTATTGCTTATTTCGTTATGGGATAACGATTAACTGCTGCCGATCGCTGGGAAAAAAATACCAAACACCTTGTCGCCTCCAGGCACCAATGCCCGTCAACGGGTTAACATTACACACAAACTGAACCATTTTAATAAATTTCCAAGCAGTTTCAGCATCAGATTTGTCCGCTGCTTTTAGGATTTCCGGGTTTCCGGTAATCTATTAAATAAAAGCAAAGTTAGAATTAAATTAAAACTGAACCAGAATCTGTTCAAGGATTAAACAGTTTGCCGTGAAGGTCAAACCAGCATGCTTGCTTCAGCTTTGGTGCGTTCAAAGCAAGTTTGTCGATTTCAAGCAAAACAAAATATTTTGTAGCCTGCGTGTCAGTAAAGAGTAGTGCAATATTTCTATACTGTACATTTCCGCTCTTCTGCTACAGTTACCCGCGAGAGAGACATCTTTTTTATAATATGAAAAGTATCTTCACTGAGCATCAACTTTTGATTTTTTCGGCTTTTTTCGTGTGACTTTTTAGACATTTTAGCTACAATTTTTTTCGTTCATCACAGGCTGGAGCAAAAATAGCCGGTTCCGCTAGTAATCATAGCCGAAAGACCGTTTTGTGCGAGAAAAGTCAAGTTTGTCGAGCTTTCCAAGGTGCACTGAAACACAACTGAAGTCAGGTTTTGTTAGCAAACACTGCAGTGCCAAGTTGGGGCAGTTGCACAAGATCGTTAGTTTTGCCAATGTATTACAGATCTACATTACTGTAATTCCTTTATGCCAGCGCTTAACTGCTTACAGTTTACACAGCGACTGACCCAAAAGATAGTTGAGCTGACCTTACATTACTTGTTTTACATTAATATGAAAATGTGATGATCATTCAGCTGAAAATGCTGAGCTCAACTTTGAAATTAAATTTCGGTCCTATTTTCAGATAACGTGACTTTTAAAACGGACTTAATAAATTTCGACGATCATATTTTACCTGGAAATAAAAAATTAGATCCATAAAGTATTAAGTACTTTATTAAGAATAAAGTATTACATTTTGAAAATCTCTTAAACATTATGGAAAAAATGTTTGCAATGGATGGCTTTCAAAAAAATATAATTAATAGCGTTCGTTGGCGTCGTTTAGAAGTTCGACAGTAGCTAGGGAAACTCATCCTTATCATCGCACTTTGAAGAGATGCTCCAAAGGGGGCGACTTTTCACTGCCCTCCTGCAGCAATCTGGGATTCCAGATTACTGACAAGCATGAACGGAACTTACCACTGCCACCAAAAATTTACCTCAAGATGCACAATCATTGAAAACTGGTTTTTAAAATTTAAAAACCAGTTTTCAATGATTGTGCATGTTGCGTATACGCGAGGTCAGTGCCTTATAACACTCATGGTTCTCGTACTGTAAAAGTAAGGTAAACAACCATTATAACGCAGAATTAACATAACATTTTTCAGCACTTAAAATTTAGAATAATACCGCTGAGTCACGTGATTGTGTTTAGATCACGACGTTTCCCCTTTCCAGTACATAACCCCATTTAAAAACATTTTACGGGAAATCATCTAATGCCAAGGTATAATTATGCACCTAGGGTAGTTCTTATGTTACGCTTACCCGTGAGAAGTCCAGATAATATTAATTTATCCTGGTACTGAAGTTTAGATCGACATCGCCAAATATAAGACAGAGTTCGGTCTTTAAGGTCCACGAACGAAACCGCGCGGATATCATACTCCGTCCGACGAAACGCATTGCCGTTCAACTGTTGCAGCAATTTATCCAGATTCACGTGACTATATTTCGGGAACGGGATTGTACGTTTCTCGAAACATCCTGGTTCGACTGGCTCAGGCCGAGAGCCCAATCCATGAACCTTATAGTAATCGTGCCAATTGCCCGAAGATGGAAGCTGGGCTGGAGTGGCGAGGCCTACAGTGGCCCACCAGTCGCGCGCCACTCTCCAACGCAATCGCTCCACAGGAACCAGATCCGTGCGCTGCTCCTCCTGCATCCATTGAACTATGGCTACCCCGCACCGCTCGTGACGGATACCGCGCGCCACATTGATAATTTCAGCAGGGAACCAGGTCCATGGACCGGAGGGCGTCGCACGCATTAGAGCATCAACGGGAATGGTCCCATCGGGTTTGCCATAAGCGCTCGCATAGCCAAGACGCCGACGCCTTTCGTCGTGCACTGACTTCAGAACCTTGAAAATTCGAATAAACGGGGTGAATTCGTGTGGTCGGTTGGGACAGAAGTCAATGAAAAGCCCTTTGTCAGAAACGTCCACCACGCGTCCCCTGCGAAATAGGTTGTCGTCGCCCAGAACGTCGACATAGCCGGGGTCCGACATCCCTGTAACTCGAAAGTATCCAGTCCTCGGCAGGCTCAACACCTGACGAAAACCAAAACCCATAAAAACAAAACAATCAGTAACAATCGTACTCCGTATCAGTAACTCCCTGTAACTGCGCGTCTAAAGTTGACAATCGTCGTGCTAAATAGGGAATGTTCAAATGAACGCACTCTCCTTCAGCCTGTTTTTCAACGGGCTGCACTTGCATTACGGATCCGATTGGATGACCGATGTCCCACTAGGATAAAATACGATAAACACAGAAACAAAAGTTATCAAAATACCCAGCGGAAATTGCAAATGGATATGTTCAAAGCGCCGGTGCCGTAAATGCAGAAGCTCCGAGAACTGCAAGAACTACGCTATACAGCAACTGCGAAGAACTCCTCTGCTGATGTATTGAGTGCTGAGCCGCCTTCAGACCGAGAGCGCACGTGCTAGCAGCAGTGCGTAGCAAGTACGCAGAGGCAGCTTCGCCTCGAAACATCCTATTCGCTGCATCCGCGGCATTGTTGTAGGACATGGAATGTCATCCTTACGGGCTTTTGCCTTTCAGTTAATGTTCCATTTTTTATTTTCACTAGATTTTGGATTTATTGTTGTGTAGTACTGAGTAATCGACAGAAGAAAAGCTCCTCTATGTTCAAGAAAACGAGATTTTTTTTGTCAAATCGCTCACGTCGGTCCCATTGAAACCAGATTTAATTAAAATTTTTTACTGGGTTTTATTTTTAATATAAAAAATGTATTTCAACAATACTAGGGTGTGCAACGCTTTAGACTATAAGAGCGAAGCGAAGCCACGAATGCTGATCAAGCTAGTAGTGACAGCCGGTGACGGGGCCGTGATCAGAAAAGTCGAAGACAAAGACTGACACAATAGCCATGCGCACTAATGTTCGCAAAAGAAAAGCGCTTAAAGGTCAGATTAAGAGTACGTATAATGAAAAGCAAAATTTAAAAACTAAGTAACTACTGGCAATTAAGTCGGCGCAATCAGGTGGAATAAGAAAATTAAATTAAACATACCAAGACAACAATGCAGTACGATACCATAATAATTATAACGTAGTAAGATACTAATATACACTGGCATTCTAAACCAAAACATGAAAATTTGCAAAAACCTACGACATTCTCTCCACGATCTGATCAGCAGCCATCAAACGTCTTCGAACTCATCATCCGCCCGGTAACACGCCCAGGAGAATTACAGTAGGTTACCGCGGTTCCTCGCCATGTTGTCAAAATGTTTATACACCTCAACCAGGAAGTACAAGCGCAATCGAAGACAGCTTCTTCAGCTGCAGATCCTTCAAGCCGTCAATGCACCACTTCTTGCCGCGGTAATGCGAGGCCGGCCGCGGATCAGTTGACTGCGTCGCGCACAACGCCTACAATGCAAAACCGTTTTGCGTAACATTCTTTATTGCATTGGTACTACTCGCCAAAGGCATTTATTAAAAGAGCTTGGCTAGAATCTGCTGAACTTTGAACATTTTCCATCGAAAATTATTCCTGTAAGAACTTCACGCATCACAATCGAATTCTTCGGTTTTTAACTACGGAAGTTCGCGATGTCTTGCGCATATCTCAGTAAACGTACATTGACACTTGGGACAGGAAAAAAACGAGGAATTTTAGGTATTATTGTTGCCGTCAAAAAAATTCCCGCAAAAGACAAAATCTGAATGGAAAATTTTCAGTTGAAAAGCATAACGTATGAAAACGCGATTACACTCACCTTGCTGCATTTATGCTCAAAATCATGACTCTCAGTATCAGCGTTGTTATTCGTTGTGATGAACGCGAACCAAGCTGACAAGGTTTCGATTACTTGCGCACTGGGCTTCGGCACGCAATTCTCCAGTGCGTCCCACACCGCGCTGGCCACATCCCCGGTCAATGACAGCCAAATCCCCGACAGCTCAACCGACAGTTGGATCGTTATCGGCTGGCCTGCCTTAAAAAAATCCCAATCAAAAGTACATTTGACCAGATGCATAGCATCGCATGGGAGACCATTACAGGCTGCACTAAAATCGTTCATGCGATTGTTGTTGGATAAAAACCCATCGAATGTGTCAGCCCGTTACGATGCAATTTGCATTTATCATACACATCATCAAAAGCAACAAGAGTTGACCAGACGCACTTCTATGAGTAGTCCAATTAAAATTATTTATATCTGTAACCGGCATAACCGTCCATCTTTATCGAGAATATGTTGGTATATTTACTGACCAAACGTTACGAACGAAGCTCGCTTATTGCGAACAAATTCAGTACTAATGTAATAAGTAATACGCTCGCAGTAACAGGAACTGGATGGCAGATGCGGCTGACGGCGAGCAAATCCCCCAGCCAATAAAAATGCAATTCCGGCTTGGGAAGAAGTTCCAAGATCTGAGTGGTTGCCGCAGGACCATGTGCCAACAAGCGACATTAGACGTTATATAGATGGAGGGAACGCAGTCAGATGCCGGGCTGCTGGTCCGCCACGTACTGGATCATGTCGCACACCAGCATCGCGTAGTCCGTGCCCATCGTCTTGTCAGACACACTGCAAGACAATCCACTGCGTGCCCGGGCGTAGGCAGTGGTACAGAGTCACCCAGCCGAGGAAAGCTTCCGTTCCGCGTGTGGCGGTGCGGATGACGATAGTCGAGCGCAGCGCTGCCGCATCCATGATCCGGTTCCACGTTGCGCAGACCGCACGCAGCTACGCCCGGTCCACAGCGTCAAAGTGGGAAAAAACTTCCTGCCACAATTCCATCGGCCGCGCCCTCTCGTGTTCTATGGTAGGAGTCGTGTCAGGAAGCCTCTTGGCCGCACGGATAAAACGATCATGGCAGAGGTCATCTCCACCCTGAACAGCGCAGCCACACACGGTAGTAGGACACATACAAGGTAGTGCTTCAGCACAAAAACCAGTTTATCACAGAAGCTGAGAGAATCGCTACCTGGGGGATAACGAAAATTAGCGGACAAACTGCGATTTGCTACGGTCGTGAAATCCTTAAATACTGCAGAAACGGTGTATTGTAAATGTACATGCGCGAAATAATACTTCGTAGTTCGTAGAAGTGTACATCATGTACGTGCACTTTACTTCCGAAACGCATTGCAAGTTCCTACTGTACATTATTGCTTCGCTTTCCGCGAGCCATGCTGTATGCTGTACTATTATTAGTAGGAATGTTTCACAAGGGTTCTGAGTTGTGTCTCAAATAAGACCAGTAAAGTCGGATAAAAAAAATAGAGAACCAAAATAAAATTGTGAAGCACGGGATTAATAGGCGCGAAAATGTCACTGACAGAAGCTACTTCCCGTTAAACTGTATGTCGTAAGCGTCTGCACGTCGGGGAGATGTCGTGACGAACCGACTGAGGCGGAGCCAGTTTATCCACACTCCGCGGATTGGTCAGTCGCACATCTACGAAGTGCATGCGCTAAAACTCCGACTCCGGTGCGACCATACAAACACTCGTCAAACAGCTTCGCTACCATAGGAAAATCATGTTATTCTATAAAGGCAATTGTACAGGCACATCTTTGAGCGCATTTCTGCAGAGCCACGAATTACGATCACTGAGGGCAGCTGGTGGTACATGTATTTCCCAGATCTTCTTCACCTAAACACAGTTTGTGCAGAAAACCAATAGTCTAGTATATTAGTTTTATCTTTTTATCTGTTGTAGCTCGTACTAATTGTGCTTCTATCGTGCGTGCACTTAACAGGTTGTGACTTTCCAGTGCGCGTTTGATTGCCGACGGAACTCTGCTGTAACTTTGGCGTGACCAAAAGGTATCAAAACGCAAGGAAATGGACCGCGCCAACGGAATCCCGCTTCGCACGGCCATCGTTCCCACACGTCGCACTCGCCGCACTCGTCTAGTTGCGCATCCACATCAAAACGCCTCCTATCACGATTCCGTCGCCCCAGGGACCTTCATTATGCTCAGTGTGGATCTTGGCCAAGGATTTTGCTCGATGTCCCTTGAAGACTCCAAGGCCCTCATCGAGCAGCTGAACGGCTCCCTGCTGCATCCTTACTGCGGGCAGTTCTCCGTGGTCAGTCTCGTGGACGCAAAGTTAGAAGGCGGTTGTAAGATGGTGACACAAGCGCATGATTTGCCGGTAGGAGTGAACTCGATCCTGTATCCGCCAAATGTTCGGCTCTTTATGGATACTTTTGCTGCAGGGTTTTGCTGATTATCTCCGTGTTCAAGTGTTCCGCAGAATCAAGTATTTGCTGGACCACGCTCCAGCAGCTGTTGACGTCACGGTGAAGGGGCTGCCGGTTGAGTTGATGCAGGAGATCTTCTCCCACCTGGACACTGTAAAGCAGAAGCAGCTGCAAAGAGTGTGCGCCCTGTGGAACCGGATCCTGGTTGCGCCAGCGCTGCGTGGTACGATCGTCATTCGAAGCAACGGACTGACCACATCGGTCCTCGGCTTCATGACGGTAATTCGCTGCTTACATCCCTCCACACAACGCCTTATCCTGACATCTTTCGAGCACGGGCAATGCAGCACCAACTACGTGATGATGTTCCTGGGCAAGGTCTTTTTTGTGGCTTCTAGTCGCGCCGGCATCCGACTGCGTTCCATTCATCTGCACCGCGTCCGACTGAATTTACTCATCAGCCGCGCTGTTACGGGTGATGGCGCTTGCGTCCAACACAAGTCCTCTCGTGGGGACGAGGATCCGGAAAGCGGATACTACTGGATGCAGGATTTCGTCTTTAAGTGCTGTCGTCTGCCGTGCGATACCCTCCACATCGGACCGAACGCGCTGGCGTTAATGGCCTGCGACTTTCACACCGATCCGTTCTACCGGCGCATTTATCGACGCAAAGCGGAGGAATTCACCATTCAGGTCGAAATCGACATTCACGCCACGCGGCTGAAACCGGATGGTGGTTTCGGCTGTGCATTGTGGGAAGCAATGGAGGCGGCGCTGCCGGTACCCAGCGACGGGGACGTGCACGACCTCTTCCAGCGCTTCAGAGTGGGCGGGGATCTGCGTAACAATAACAAACTGAAGGCACTCCTCTGCACGGTACTATTGACAGTTTCTCATTTGCTCTGCTGAGACTGTAAAAATTCGTTTGGCAGGCACTGTGCGCGCTGCAGTCGGCCGATCCGCGTCCGTCGTCGCACTACCACGGGAAGAAGTGGTGTGTGGAAGGACTGGAAGAGGTGCAGTTGGAGAACTTGTCGCGCATTTGTCGTCAGCTGCTTATTGAACTGCGAGAGCTGATGGTGGAACGGCAATGGTGACGTTTGGAAGGGTCTCCACAGTGCTGTTCCGTGTATGATTTGCCATTTCGACGCTAATCTGTGTGTTCGTGAAGACCTGGTCGGCACCTTGCGTTTATTCGTCTTGTAGAAATTGCAGGCTTCTGGTTGTTCATTTTGTCGGCTCACTCTGCTGTATCCGTAGCTGTCGCATTATGATGTCGTATTCATTTCATCTCTTCATTTTTTGCCTCTAATGCTTCGCTGTTACTAGACTTTTTATTTGGTTATGGAAGAACACTGTTCAACACACTACAATGCTTATGGAAGGGTGTTTCTTGTAAACTAGGTACGTAAGTTTGATGAAGCGCGGACCGAAATACAAATGTGTGGAATGTGATTCCATAACGTCGTTTTCCATTTTGCGGTTTTTATGGAAACCCCCGCCCACTTTGAAGCGCTGGTGTTGCGTGTCCAGCACCTGCTCACTCAGCCCTGGTAACGCGGCCTGTACTGCATCCCATAACGCGCAGCCAAAATCACTGCCCAGCGGCAATCGCGCCGTATCGATGTTCATCTGCATCTCCGTTATAAACTCCATGTTTGTGTGCCGCCGATGCTCCGCGATGATTGGAAAGCTGCAGACTAGGGAAACCCGGCAGTTGGTCATGCGAAGCACGGTACCGCTTGGCAGGCAGCGGCATCGCTTCACAAAATCCTTCAGCCAAACATAATCGTAGTCCTCATTCGACAGTGACTGGTGCAGGCCGCACTCGCGATACTCCGTGCTGTTCACAGCGCACTGCACCAAAAAGTCAAATTGGACACGGTGTAGATGGATACTTGGCAAGCTGATTCGGATTTGATGAGCAGCAGCGTAGCGTACCATGCCGCACGCTATCAACGCTTAGTCATAGCCGATTCACCCGGCATCCTTCAGGTGCGTTATGACAACCCGTTGCGTGTCCGGACGTAAGCATTTGTACACCATCGCCAAGCAGAGAATCTCATTTCGATCCTTGTTCCTCCTCCATGCGGATGACGATAATGGAGTGAAGCGCCGGCGCATCCATGAGAGTCCTTGTGGGGCACTCGGTACGCAGCTTCGTCTGATTTACGAAGTCCAAGTGGGAAACGACCTCCTGCCACAATTCCATCGGCAGCAGTAACTGCGCCATCTCGTCATCGAATACCTCGGCAGACTCAGAAAGATTCAGGATCAGGCTCGGCAGTTCCTCGTGGAGACGGATAATGCTTTCCTGAGAACCACGAAAAACATATTAACTGTACTAATCTGTATTTAATCGGCTAGAGGACTGTCAAAAACCGTCCAACTATTAAACAGCGTAGCATTCTTCGCATTGTCAAAGCGTCTTATGAGAAGCGCTGCTTTTCTTCAACATTTGTCTGATGGTACGTCAACTCGCTGGCTACCGTGTCCACCAAATAAACCTGACCGCTGATATGGAGAAGGGGCGATTTAATCGCTGAATAAGTGCCTCGGCTGCTCCCGTGGATAGCGAGCGGGATTCCTCGGCCAGTTGCGCACTGCGCTTGACGAAGGTGCCTTGAACGATTCGGTCGCGGTGCGAAGGCTTGATAACGTGGTTGTTGACATCGGGAAGCAGGCGAACGCGTTCCATGGGGACGCGTTCATTTCATTGCGCGCCTAACGCAGTTCATTTCACATGTGACCCAAATCCACGCACCGGAAGGCGTCTCCGGCACCAGAACCTGAAACCGGAAGGTTCGTCAGTTGTTCGCCAGGGAATCTGATCAGGACGTCGAAGCGCATGAGACGTGGAAGAAGACACTGCCGAATGGCGCATGTCCTCGTCGTAGACAGGGACAGCGACAGACGAAGAGACCGCCTTTGGCCACGTCCACGACGCGCCCGAATCGCGTCTGCTGATCGCTGCCCACAATGCACACGGCCAGCATTCCTCTGGTGAGGTTGACGACGTTGAGCACAAAATGGAGAACGCAGTAGTTGTGGTGAGGATGGACTCGACGGGACTGAGTTTACAGGGCGCTAAAACGTATCTGACCGTCATATAAAGCGCTTGTAATGGGCGGGGACTGGACGTCCACCCTGTGGGAGGCCATGGAGGAAGTGCTGCCGGCGCCCAGCTTGGAGGAGTTGCGGACCTTGGCCGAATGGTTGGCGGGGATCCTAAAGGAAAATAAATAAGTTTTTTCACGGGGCTGTCTGCCGAGTAAAGTGCTGTGTCTCAAAATTCAGACGGGTTTTCGCCAAACGTAACTACTTCATCGAATTTCCTAAAATTTTGGTCACTTCCAGACGTTTTTTTAATTGGTCTCCGGACGCCAGAATTGCTCACTTTTAGTCTTGTATATTTTTGTAATAAAAAGTTACTATACGCCCGGACATTCCGGTTATATTAATTAGATTTGAAATCGTTTACGGTGTGATGCGGAGATCAGTCAGTCTTAAACAATCAGACTGGATTTTGTCGTTGCATAGGCTTTGTGGGCTACCCAGTCCCTTGATCCGCGTCCGTCCGTGCATTACCGCGGGAAGCGATGGTGTGAGAAGGGTCTGCAGGAGCTGCGCTTGGACAGGCTGTCCCGTACCGCCCTACGTTTTCTCCTCATCCTGCCGGAATTTCTGCGTACAACTACCGATCTACTCCGAATGAATTGAGGGAAAGGTCGGCCATCTGACGGTTTAGTTTTTCCCGTTCCGGTTGAGCGTTCCCTTTGGGAACGTACGGAGTACGTAAAATGCGAAGTTGTTGTTTCTCCGTTTGTATTTTCAAGATAACTTCGGTGGTTCTCCGCTGAAGGTTATCTTGCTGTAATTTGTTGTTAGCATATTTCTTTATAGCGGAGTTTATGTATCTTGTGACTCTTGTCATGTGGGCTTCCCGAATTCAAGATCCGCTTAATTGTAAGTAATTTGCTTCATTTTGCCAGTCATGATCTGGTTCTAAGAGTTTTGCTTAAGAAAATCTTCCGGAAGTGAAGAGACATCGTTACGGGTACTGCCGTACGCTATGTTGATACCGGGTATTTGCGTAAATATCCACAGATATTTACTGACCAGTGGTTGATAAATGGTGGTGCCTCAGTTGATTAATACTGACCAGTGGTTAAGCGCATCTGTGCTATAAAGCATGACCAACCGCTTCGTTTATTATCTTCACGCTTCGTCATTTTGACGACTTACGAACTCTAAATTGCTTCTTACTTGGTATCGACACGCATTTCTCGATCCAAAGAAACGGTTTGCACATGCTGTTATCGCCTGCTGACAAGCATATAATAATTTATTATGCATTATACGTACATTCGTCGCCGGTTAATTACATACTGGTATATGTTACGGTTTGATGATTGCTAGCAAGCCTACCAGTAGCATGATTAACCAAACAATTCTAAGTCGAGAATGGAGGGTGTCCGAAAGGGAAAGAACGGAAAGAGCCGGCATGTAACTGTGGACAGTCTTTAAGATGAGAATGTGATACGCGGAGACCCGATGGCGGATTCGTATACGGCGCGATTTCGAAGTCCTCAGGCGCCGCCGCTGAAGTAGCGTCAGACTGGAAAGTGGAAGCCTAAGCTCGATTACTGATTGTTGTCATGATTTTTTTCTATTGCATGCTAGAAATCTGGCACTTGGTCTACCATCAATGTGACGCTGCAGTTGTTTTACCAAAAGATATCTATAGAAAACTATTACTAACTCGTGCGAATCGTTGCACTTGCATTTTGTTTCAAGGTTCAACTTCAAAAATTCGCCTACAGCACGTACATTTTAGGAACAGAAGATGGGAGTGTTAAAACATCTATAGGAAAGTTGCACCGGTCGTATTTGGTCATACTTGACGGGATCTAACAGAACATCGGTGAAAAAGCCACAATTCGGAATTGGATAAGCATGTCATCAAAATGCAGAAATTCATAATGTTATACGTCAACATTCTTGGAACCGCCGAAGGGATTCGCTGAAGGACTCCGCGGTTCACTCGGTGAGGGCGCCATCATTCCGGACAGACGATGTCCACCGATCTGCCATCCGGCAGGTAGTGCAATAAGGCAATCCAGCAGAATCTGTTCAGCGCACGCAGCTCCAGGTCGGCCAGATCGGACATGGTCCATGTGCGACGCCGATAAGAAGAAGAGGGGCGCGGATCACACGACTGGTACTCCCGTAAAATCTGCAGATTTATTCAACCGATTATTATGACGTACGAGGGTTACTCGGAAAGTAATGATAATCAGTATCAGTTAATAATCATGAAATTATGCACTAATTTTTTAAAAACTGTAGCATTCATAACTAGATCATAGGGCAATGGCCGTGGCCATACCGCCTAAGGTTGGCGGTTGGCAAGGCTCTGAACATGGCTGGGTAGCGCTGATTTTCACTGATCACTGAAAGCGTTGCCTTAATTACTGGCCAGTTTTCATGATATTATTTTGAAAAACTGATTTGCAGAGAGAAGTGTAGAATTTTTTCATACTGCATTGCCTGTTCTGTTGCCTTAATAAGGACCATTCTTTGCTGATGTTGCCAGCTGGTTCCAGCGAACTCGCACCGAGCACTCCGTTTTGACAACGGTGCTCAAATTTTGGAATATTTTTTTGAGTTTCCACTTTCGAAAAGTAATCATAGTCAAAACCCTGATCGAGAAGGATTCTTTTCCCACCCCGAAGCAATAGCAGAGGGTCTAAGCATTATGGAAGAAAAGGTGTCGAGGGTGTGCTGCAGCTTCTTACTGATAACGCAGAAGAAAATGGTTTCTGACACGGTATCATCCGTGTGGTGCAATATCGCGAAAATCCACAGATAAGCACCCCGTCCCTGCTTTAATTTTTTTCTCGGCCTGGAGTAAAAGTATCGTTCCACATTATTTTTCTTAGTTTACCTTAGTCCTTTATCTGTTCCAGATATTTCCTGGCTTGAAAAAATTGTTGCGTGGCAAAAGTTTGAAATGATGAATAACTGGAAGAAAATATCAGTACACCGATCTCTAAGATACCGCCTAATTTCTTTTCGAAAACGTTTGATGAGTGGCTGTTTAGTTGTTTGCGTTGTATAGAGATTGAGGGACATTGTTTTGAGAAAATACAAGGAAAACGTTGCTGCAATAAAAAATTTTGCGCAAATTATCATTACTTTCCGAGTAACCTCGTATCTGCTGAATATGTAATTACATATTTCCTGAATAAAATCTAATGCAGTACACTAATACAGTATATGTCACGGTATTTACTAGAGAAAAGGATAGAACTCTCTCTACCAGTAAAAACTACTCGTATTAACCAAAAATTATCAACAATTCACGAAAAGCTTTTCAGCCATCCCTCGCTTCCAACTTAAAATCCTGCACTTAACCTTTAGGTACCACCGTATTAACGCGGTATGCGTAGTATGCCTGTACTTTGTACGTATGTCGTAGTTACGTACGGTTTACCTGTGCTTATCTAAAGCTTTTGATCGCTAATTCTATCAGCGATTCTGCTTGTCTTGATGAGTCTGAGTCTTGATGAGAGTGAGTTGAGTCTTGGATTTGGCAGAGTCTGTGCGCAGTGTGTGCAGATTTGATAGAGTTGGCTGGAGAGTCTGTATGCAGTGTGTGCAGTCTTCAGATTATGATTAAAGGTTATGAGATCCTGAGTGACCTTCTTGTGGCGAAAGCATTAGTGTGAAGTGTGTACCTGCAGGAAGTCACATAAGAATCTGGATGACAACATCATCCAGATATTTGGTTGTGAGCTAGGAGCAGATCACCGTTCAGAAGAGAGTCCCACTCTACCGACTGTGTGTGGTTGGTCATCTAGTACGGTAGTCGTGGTGCGACTGCCGTATAGCATGTCATGGCGCCTTCCGGATTTTACCAACCCCTGGGATTTCTGGACGGTGAGTGATTTTCGATTGTTTGGATTGTTGGTGTTTTGGTGGCCGAGTTGGTAGTACCACGTGGATCCTCAGAGAGTCCCGTGAGGATACGGTTCCTAAGTGGAACTGTACAGTCGGCCTTGGTTGACCCAAGTCTCCTTAGAAGGAACTTGGAGGACACGGTTCCTAAGTGAGAGCCAGGTGTCTGGTACGGTCCCAAAGTGAGAACCAGGTACCGGGAGTCTGCGGGAAGTAGATCTCCGAGTTTGGTTTGGCGTGGGTACGCTTGGTTTGGCGCAGTACAGTAGTGATCTGTACTCGCGGGTTTAGTTATTATAGACGGTACAGGGAGTCGTAGTGATCAGCCCCGTTATAGTCTGTAGTTAACTTCCGGGTAGACGCTGGCAGTGTCAGCGTTATCTGGATTTGACATCTTGATCTGTTGTCTGTGTGTCCAGGCATTAACTTCGCAGGCGCTGACTATGGATCGGTCAGTGACAGGTGAATCGCAGTTGGCTGTGGATGGCTTATCTGCACGGGCTGCTGCAGGATGCAGCAGACGGACTGGTTTAGGGTTCAGTAGTGCTGATCCTGGCCAGGTTAAAGGCACTGTACCTGGTGGTACGGTGAATGGCGGAAGAGAAGTCGTAGATGAAACATCTATGATCAAGGAAAATTTTGATTTTACTGGTTTACGGGAACTGGAAAAACGGATCATGGAGATTGACCCTGTTTCCGTTCCAGTTGATCAAATTGGTTTTGAAGATGATATCGAATTATTTGGTAATAATTTCGTAAATATTGGCAGTGAAATGGCCGATGCTGTGACAGACTTGCAGCATGGAGATGAGTTGTTTTCGAATTTACCAGATATTCGCCAGCAGAGAAGTGGTGAAGGGCATGGCGAGAGCAATGAACTGCTGGAAGTGTATCAGCAGCTTGTCCTTGATTATGAGAAGTTACAGGCTGATTACAGGATTTCACAGTCAGATTTGAATACTGTGAAAGCGGATCTGCATTCAGAGAGGGAACATGCTAAAAGGTTAGCACGAAAGATTGAGAGTTTTGAAACAGAACGTGATGACATCATGCGCCAGAAAGTTGATTTGGCGCATGAATGGAACAGGCAGAAGAAAGAAACAGCTGAAATGCAGAAGCGATTGAGTGAATGTTCTGCATTGCTGAAACTAAAGGTGAATAATTTTCTTTTGGAAAAGAAATTATTTGACGAAAACTTCGCAAAGTTTAATGCAGAAAGAAATCTGCATAAGCGACCAGATGTAGAAAAAGGAATTAGAGCGCAGTCAGAGAAGAGTTCTGTGATTGAGGTTGTACATGAACGAGATGTACAGGGTACAGTAGGTGCTGGTAGGCCTGTGCGTCCTCGAACTCTGTCCGCACAGAAATTGAATGGGCAGACTGTAATTGACTTTTTGGATTTGCGTACTCGGTACCATAATCTTCAAGAAGGGTTTGGAATGAATCGTAGTTTGTCTCCTACGATTTCGAATGTTAGTTCAAACGATTTCTATAATATGCAGTTGAAGTTAGCTGCATTAGAAAAACGTATTGATGCGCAGGAAAAAGCGACGGCTGAAAGGAAAGCTGATGAGTCACTCAGCTTGAACAGTCTGGCACGTGTTTTGAAAGGTGCATTCAGGGATGACGTAATGTATCCTGAAAAGTTTAATGGCAAGAAAGGTTCGATGACAGTAGAGAACTTTATCGAAAGTGTTGATAATTGTATCACGCACAATGGATGGTATGATAGAGATGTGATCGACAAGTGTCTATCACGGTGTCTCACAGGTACAGCTTTGTGCTGGTACAGCGATAAGTACGAGGATAATAAGCATAAGACTTGGAACCACTGGAAAGAAATGTTGGAGAAACATTTCTCAGATGAGAAAGATGTGATGGCGTTAAGGGAAAAAATTGGTAACAGGATGTTTACCAGTAAGGATACCCCGAACACATACGTAGACTGGTTTACAACTATCTTTAGAAAGTAAAGTTGGACGAATCAGAGCGCGTGTACTATCTGAAGCAAGGGCTGAAGAAGTGCAGATACGGCTGGTACACGTACATGGAAGAGAATGAAATTCAGGATACTGAAGAGTTCCTGAATGGGTTAAAACTGCAGTACAGGTTGGCGAAAGAAGATTCAGATGTAGAAGATCTGGATCAGCCAAGCGATAATACTGGTGAGTCCGGTAGAGAAGGCACTGGTGACGATGATGACCAGTCTTCAGCAGTGAGTGAGGATAAGTCGAGTTCGGATAATGGAAAAATTGTGATTAATTTTTCCAAGTGGTTTCTTCCAAATGGAAAACCGATTTGTTTTAAGTGCCATGGTTTGCACAAAAGTGTAGAATGCGCAAGTAAAGGGCCGCGTAAGCCTATGTTGGCTGAACCGCCGCCTGAGGTAGTGAAGCAGCACATGTTAAAGTTGAGAGTGAACCCCGAATGTAACAGCATGGCGGTAGCCCATGTTGGTCGGAAGTTTAAGCCTGGAAGGGATAAATCTGCTGGAAATAAGCAAACGACTTCTAAGGTTTATTTACCGAAGCGAACGGAAGTGTATTTGCGGAGCTGTAATGCATCCAAGGATGTGAAAGCTTGCATCAGTGGCAGTGTCAGTCAGCAGCAGTTTGACACAGTGCATCACAGAGTGGCACCTATTTTGCAGTGGGGGTGCCAAAGCTGGAAAGTTTCCTCTGGCCGTAAATTATCATGAAAATAAGAATCCATGATTTTAGGCTATTTAAACGAACGTTAATTTATGAGCTGAATATAATTCATAGTTACTGGTGAATTATGAATGCTAGTTGGGCAAGCACTTGATGCTTGTGCAGTTATACTTGACTGAATTTGCAGTTTAGATATTGGCAGTGTTAATATCTAACTTGCTTTTGCTTTGAAACTTTTGGTTTAAAACTATCAGCATTAATTGGTTTGCTGATTTTCGGATTAAATCAATTAGGTTAAATGAACCGGAAGTAAGTACTGTGTGTTGATGCGTTACTGCGTTGGTGGCAGTTACGTATACAGCAGTATTTGAAATGCTGTAGTGCAGCATCAGAAATTTTGAATTGCTGAATTACTTAGTTTTTCAGCAGATTAGTTTTCGGAACTGAGCAGTGGTGTAATCTGTTCACTTTGGCCATGAATCGCAACAGTAAGTGTTTTGCGATGGTTCGGTTGAGGCGTGTAATTGGTGGTTCCATCCTGAAAAGCGAGTACTCAGGATATCAGTAACTGGCTGTGTATGGCTGCCGTGTGACCATGAAGGAACCTGGCAGAGTGTGGTTCATCGCGTGTGTGCAAGTTTGCAGTGGGGGTGATCCTCATTGTACAGTGGATTGATGTTATCCACTGATCGGACTTTTCCTTGGCTTGTGCTGGATGTCGAGCATAATGGATCCTCGAGCTCGGTGTGAGGGAGAGGATGGATGAAACGAAGGATTTGGACATTTTGGACCTGGATAACTGATGGATCGTGGACAGATGCGTGTGGAATTGTTGATCATCGGAGGACGAGGACGGACTCAGCAGCGCTGGACCACCATTTGGACCTCCCGTACCCTCCGGATTCCACACGGACCACGATAACGATCCACCGGAAGTTGGTACTTTCCTGGATTTTGAGTTTGTTTTGGTTTTGTTCTTCGTAAATTGGCGGACCTTAATGAATGATTTCTTGTGGTTCTACGCGGACGTTAGAACGGTTTGCAGTGGGGGTAACGCGGTATGCGTAGTATGCCTGTACTTTGTACGTATGTCGTAGTTACGTACGGTTTACCTGTGCTTATCTAAAGCTTTTGATCGCTAATTCTATCAGCGATTCTGCTTGTCTTGATGAGTCTGAGTCTTGATGAGAGTGAGTTGAGTCTTGGATTTGGCAGAGTCTGTGCGCAGTGTGTGCAGATTTGATAGAGTTGGCTGGAGAGTCTGTATGCAGTGTGTGCAGTCTTCAGATTATGATTAAAGGTTATGAGATCCTGAGTGACCTTCTTGTGGCGAAAGCATTAGTGTGTAGTGTGTACCTGCAGGAAGTCACATAAGAATCTGGATGACAACATCATCCAGATATTTGGTTGTGAGCTAGGAGCAGATCACCGTTCAGAAGAGAGTCCCACTCTACCGACTGTGTGTGGTTGGTCATCTAGTACGGTAGTCGTGGTGCGACTGCCGTATAGCATGTCAGTATCATGGAAGGGTGGGAATCTAGTGAGGCGTCGAAATAATCTCACATTAGAAAAGTTCGAAAATGCACCAAGGGATTTATATTACAGCGGTTTACGTTCAAACATTTGATTAGGAGTTTATGGCAACCAATACCATATTCTTTTCTAAAACTAGCCAACATGTTTTTGCAGCGTGCAAACAGCTTATCGTTTATTAGCGCACGGTTATTGGCTATGTTTATTCGATACTGTCTGCATAAAACCATCAGCCGAAGAGAATCCGTTTAATGTCGTTACTGTTCTTCGTAAAAAAGATTATCTAGTACGTGCCGAATTATACCCGGCTTGACTACTCAATGAAATCAATCAATCAATCAATCAGTACCTCAATCCATTTCCTGGCCTTCACTGCACTGTCAATCCGGACGTCCACGCGCTGCGTGTTGGAGTACAGCTTCGACGGCGGCCGCACGCGGTAGCGTCGCAGATGCTGTTCCCACAAGTTCACAATGCGCGCCTCATCGACATGCCCCGGGGTGAAGACGGCCGGTGGAATTTTGGCGAACATCATGGGCTGCCGATCCCGGTCCATCAGGGCCAAGAAATAATCCGTCCAGATCACCCGGTCACAGCACGCCACGAGCCGGGACAGGTGCGCGGCGAACGTGGCCGATACCTGGCCCCAACTCCATTCATAACCCGAAAATGCTGCTTCGATCTTGATCAGTCGCTGGTAGATGATGAAACGCTGGATACGGATGCCGGCGTCGTCCACGAGCTTCTTACTCTCCTCCAGCGTTTCATCGACATCATTTAGGTTCCATCGGTGGAGGTATCTCGTTTCGGTTAGACGCATACAGATGGTGCGCGTGTTCGGTGTGATGTACTTGAAGAGGCAGGCGTACTTAACGTAATGATTACCCCACTGTCCGGGCAACAAAGGATCCAGCGGGTGCTTTGTGACCCGCACCTCCTGGGACAGCTCCGCCGACGTGAGAATGGCTTCCCACAGCTGACAAATGCGACGACAGCGCTGACGATCGACGGTGTCCAGTGACAGGAAGACTTCTTTCAGCACGTCCAATGTCAACGCCAACCCGTCTCTACCGACATCCCGCCGTATTTTTCGCTTGCGTCCAGAATCCGATTTTCCGATTTTCTCCAGTAACTGACCGTGAAACAGCGGATGCTGTCGTTTTCTGTCGAACACCCTCGCCTAGGGAAAGATCAAGAAAATTATTATTATTATTGCTATTATTAGGTATATAGTAGCACTCTACAGTGCAAACAACAGCGCTGAACTTAGCTTTCATTATGAAACAACAGCAATGACATACCACGTCTTCGGCCGTCAGAGGCGGGTCCTGGCGTCGTCGCAGAACCAGCATCGTCTGACTGAGCACCTTGGTAAACAGCACGTGGAATTCTCGCTCTACTTGCTTCAACAGCCGCGCCGCAGCAGACGGCTGCAGAGCCCAGTAACCGTCAGGCACACCACACGACTGGATGCTGAAATGATCCGCAGCAACGAGCTGTGGTTGGCCGCCGTCTCCCGCCGAATTCCGAATCTGGCGGTCGGGAACCAGCTCACGACGATGCTCCCCGCCCATCTTAACTTCCACCAGCGACACATCAGGCAGGTTTCTGAACCATCTGCACCGCATTTTCCCGGGATACCACTTCCACACGCCATCCCCGCCGTCATGCAACAGGACTTCTACAACGGTGCCCATGCCAGCGTCAGCAAATCGCTCGATAGAGCTATCCCAGATCTTCCCGTATCCCACCACGCAACACTGCAACGGGCTTCCGAAATCAACGATCAGTCGCGACGGAGAGCTATCGTCCCCAGACTTCTCTTCCAGACCGATGACATGGCCATGCTGAAGGACCCCGTCAATCTCCACGTCCACAGCATTCCACGCATACACAGATCGCTCATTGTCCTCATACAGATGCATTTTCAGTTGTCTGGCTTGGTCTTCCCTGAGATGCAGCAAAGAGCAAGAGGGGATGAATTCCGCAGCGATGGTAAACACTGAACCAGTGGGAACAACAGCCAGGTAACTGCACGGATTCGGAGGCAGTAAAAAGCTACAGATAATTTACAGTACTAGTACTTCGTTGATCACAGTTCAAAACTCAAATCACAAATGCCTGCGAAAAACAGCCATTAATGGTAAAGGACCGTAAAGCAAATACCAAATAATTGCCAGTGGTGCTGTCAAGCTGCAGGCAACAGGTGGTGAGAAATTGGAGTTAACGTAACCGCTGCTACAGGGTGCACCGCCCACCGTTACAATAGAGAAATATTTACTTTTCGGCTTCCACTTTTTACCTTTAAAACACACAGATCGCATAATTATAATATTTTTATTGTTAAATGCTAGGAGGTGTACATGGTGGATAACTGATCTGTCCTATTGTCCTCTGGTTTGGTGCCCAGCTGATTATGTCACCGAGACACCGGCAATAGGTATTATCGCTGGTGTAGTTCAGTGTCAGCAGTGCAATCCACTCATTCTAAACCCTTGACTCTACGTCGACTTTTGTCAGAAGTTAGGAAGTTCAGAAGTCAGAACTGTCACTGCTTTCGCTCCAGTAACGGCAAGATCTGAGTCGACATCATCAGACAGCCCAAAACAAAAACACAAACAACATTTATTTAAAGTAACTCAGTAAGTGTATACAGCAGCGTAAATACTGGCGCTTAACTGTGCCGACAGGATCAGCAGCATATCGGGATTAGACGACTTAACAAAATGGGCGATAACATTGAATTTAGTGCTTTTAAAAAACAAATGGCGATGGCCTTTTGTAAAAATTTATTTCACACACGCTCTCGACACCGAAAAGGAACGGTCATCAAACTCGCCATCCATCGGAACATCCGCCCCAAAGTAATCATCATCCCAGTCTTCTTCCATCGTCCCAGCTGATTAAAATATTCCGCCAATTCGACCAGAAACTGCCTCGAAACCGGAGACAGTATCTCCAGTTGCAGTTGCTTCAAGTCGTCATCGCTCCAATCCTTGCCGCCGTAATGCGACGACGGACGCGGGTCAGCTGACTGCGTCGCGCACAACGCCTACAATGTACAACCGATTTTTAATTAACATCTTGCCGTTCGTCAAAAGCAAGGTCGTATATTAGGAGAAGGCTTTAATTTCGGGAGTCTAGATCTGCTGCATATGTGGTTATGGCGGTTTGTTTTTTGCCAAGGATGTGGATGCCGAATGCTTTTTACCGTGCTCCAGCCAAGTTAATCCTTCTGCTTAAATAGTTCTACAACTAACAATCCTCCTCTACAGGTATAATAGCTTTCGATAAACTATTCCGTATGGACTTAAACTACATTGAGGTTTCGTCTATTATTACAAGCAAGCCAGCAGTCAGCAGCCTCACCACTTACCCAGCAGATTACTACCCTCTCCCAACGGTGTGTATCGTCAGCGGTGACGCATTTCAACCAAATCGACAGCATGTCGAGCTGCTCTTCCGTGGGTATCGGGACGGATTTCTCAATAGCATTCCACACCGTGCAGCCCATATCAGCGCTCATCGGCAACCGAACTGCTGAAAAGTCGACTTGCAGCTGTATCTCCAGCCCGTCGCTCGTTTTATTATAATCCAAATCGATAGTGCAGTTTACCAGATGCATGGCGTCGCACGGCAGATCGCAGCAAGCGGTAATAAAACTAACGAGGCGATAGGTCGGGGAAAAGCATCTGATTTTTAAGCGAAGCCCAATGAAATGGATCACTCGCAATCGAATCCCGGTATTCTGGACGGCATAGTGTATCATATCAGTCAGTGTTATAAAATCTCCCGTATCCATCAAATGGTTACGGTCATCGACAACGATGTGCTGCGTGGATTTGCAGATGCATTTGAAAACGGGTGCCGTCAGAAAGTAATGCAGTCGGCTGTGATTCGCTAGATAGTCTTTGTGAGGGCTCGCAACGATGATACAAGTCTTCAGCGGAGATGTTTGTAAGATCCAATTCCACGCGCTACATACTCTGCGCAATCCGGTCTGTGTCCAGTTATCCAATTGGGAGAAAACTTCACGCAACTCGGATGTCTTTAGTACACGCACATCATCAATCTCCTGGCGGTTCGCAGAAATAGTTTTTCTTCGACCAGCAACCGATTAATGTGTCGTATACGCGAGGTTAGTGTGCCATGGTATCGATCAACCTCCTGCTGCAAAAAATCATTTTGCCAACTACGTAAGCCCCTAAATGGCAACTGCTACTAACCAATATTATTATGTACTGGTAAACGCCTAAAGGGTAATCATTTTTGCTTCTCGTACGTCCCCGAATCACAACAGTTATTACTAATAGCAAAGATAATATTGTTAATAACAGAACGGAAAATTAATTTAGCGTAGGGTCTCTAAAGAAGAGCCCGACAGAATTTTGATGAAAGCCGCTTTCCGCTGGACAATAACTAACAAAACAAGACAGCATTAAAAAGCATTATACCGGTACCTGACAAAATGACGTAGTCTCTTTGCGCTCATAATCAGACAGATGCCGCCAAATGTACGATACACGTCCGTCATTAACTTCGACGAATGACACCGGACATCCTGGCGTGTTGTCATTCAAGTGCTGGAGCAGTTTCTCGACATCCATATGGCGGCAGTCCTTCGGTAGCGGCAGACTAAGCTTCTCAAAGGTCCCTGGTTCGATGGGCTCGGGCCATCCGTCCAACCCGGTCATCTCTAAGTAGAAGTCATTCCAGACATCCCAGAGGGAATACTGAGCCGGGAGTTGCAAGCCCATATATCTCCACCAATCGCTCGCCACTCTCCAGCGCAGCCGCTCGACAGGGACGACATCCGTACACTGCAATCCGCTCCGCGAGCGGACAACGACCACACCGCACGTTCTGTGGCGGATGCCGCGCGTCACGTTCACGATTTTCACGGGAAACCACGTCCACGTTCCACAGGGCGATCCGCGCTTCAATGCGTCTACAGGAATCGGTGTGCTGGATTCGGCGTAAGCGTAGGCATGGGTCAGGTCTTCCTCCTTTACTGACTTGACATTTCGGAAAATTTTATTGAACGGGGTGAATTCGCGGCGTCGATCAGGAGAGAGAAAGTCAATGATGAGACCAGTGTCCGCCACGTCCACCACCCGTCCGACACGGAACAGACCGTCCGGGCCCAACACCTCCACGGAATTTGTCCTATAAACTCTGCCAAACATCGTTGAAGTATGCCAGCACCCAGTTCGTCAGCTCCGGGCAAGTTGATAAAAGGCAATCCTTGGATATTTTTTCAGTAATACAGCAGCCTTAAGACCTTGATTGCCGGTCTCGTAAACAAAATCAATCGTAGATTGGTCAGCTGTATACTTACACAGTTACCCTTAATGCTTATAAGTTGTAGCCATTTCTATAATATATTGTACTTTCTGGGTTCAGTGTTACCTTTAGTCTTTAATGATAATCACTGTATCCGCATTCGGTATAACCGTATAAGTACACTCTGTAATAGTGATGTAACATTTCTACGCATAGACTATAAATTCTACGTATACTGCCCTATCGTATTGAGTCTATTGACGTCTCATGCGCTGTGGACCAGCGGCATCGTATATAAAGTACGAGTGCAAAACAGCAGCTCAGAATTAATGTATCCTAGCCCGCAAGACATTCCGGATGGATCAACCGCCCACCGCTTTGAAAACACTTCCCTAGAAAAATTCGGCTAGTTAATTTTGCGAAATCCCCAGATCAGTAATTGAAGTTAGCGTTTAGTCGCTAACTTGTTTTAACGACGTGAGAGAAACGCCGGCACGGCTGATCTCTCATTCTGCGGCTCACGAACAATATCCTTTGTTCGTATCACCGATCGTCTTCCGTTGATGGCTTGGAATGTGAAGTTAATTACCTGTTGCAAGGGGAACGCCTGCCTTATTCGTGTCTGCAGCGTTCGAACTGCTACATTTACCTGCGTCAGCCAGCCTGGCCAATTCTTCGAAAGCTGCCTGCCTGTTCTCTATCGCTCAGCGGAGGATGGCCTAGTTACGTTGACTGCATTCGAGAAGATGGTTATTGGTTGTGTGCCACGATCTGTGTCTGGCATTTTGTTTTTGCACGCGGACTGGAATGATTGTTGGGTGGGCTTTTTGCCGTGTTATTGCAGTTTACCCGCCATCTCACCCTGACGCTTGCTTCTGATGTCTTCCAAGATTTATTTTCGTTATGTAGCAAACTTTCTCCGCAGCGCTGTACAAAATTCTGATTAAAGGTCTGACTTCACTCGCGCAGCTCTCTTCGCTATGGTACGCGCAGAACCGCACCGGAAGGCAGTCTCAACCCCTGGCCACGAATCAGGTGGTGGTCCCAACGCCCTGGGTGAGAGTCACCTGGCCACGTATCAGGTGTCGCCAACCTCCCTGGCCACGAATCAGGGAGGACACCTGGCCACGCATCAGGTGTCTGCGATGGCATACACGCGCATCCGCATACGCATACACTACTTCCCGGTTGCCGTGCATGTTCTGACGATACCACGAGACTCCGCGGCCGAGCTGAGGCTGGCCATTTGCCCCAAACCATTTGTCGGCGTTTCTCGAACATAGGCGTTAATTGACCTTTGACGATTTTATGGATACAAGGGAATGCGTTGCGAGGCGAAGACAACGAATGACGTATACAGAAACAGGGTGAGTAGGCGGACTTAGCTGAGTATCGCGGCCTGAGCCTACTCAAGAAAGCATTTCAGTCATTGTAGTCTCTACTGCGAATAAGAAAATTGGCCCCGAGTTTTCAGGTGCTAAGTCTTGCATTGCCAGAGCGCCAGCCAAATCAGTTACGAAAATGGCTGTGCTTGTAATTATAAAATCGTCGTAGTTAGAACAAGATTACAGATGACTCGTAAAAATTGTAATACACACCGGTGACACCGGGGAGAATACGGTACATTGGTACTTAACATAATCATCTCATGACTCATTCTTTCCAGTTGCGTAATCAGATCGAAATTTCGAAGTTATTTTATGACTTTGCTCTACATAGTTTTGTCGTTCGAGGGCGTTTGGTATTTCCGGCGGTGATCGAGAATTTTCAAACATCGCATCTGCACTGGGCCTCCACGGGAGATAGAATGTACATATTTTCTGTTATCGGTTTATTCTAGCAGCCATATGATCTTATTTTTAACACTCCTATCTATCATCTTGTTGTTGCTCTGAGTCTGTACTGTTATATTTATTCTTATGCAGTATTTATTGTTATTGTTTGTCTTCGATTTTCACATCATTTCTTTGCCTCACTTGCATGTTCTATTTTCTAAAGGAAGAAAACTACTCTCCTTGTACGTAATATATAAGGAGCATACATTCTCTTTATCAGTACAAATTACGCAGTAAAAAGCCTCGATTCCAGATGAGATTTTCTCGGAACTAAGTAGTAAATGCATTTGCTCTTGCACTTCCCTGCATTTGTCTCGCACTTGTTCCGAAGGCCACAGTAATAGGCCTTTTACTAAGTCGGCAAGCCGAAAGCGCATGTAGCAAATCAGATGGCGCTGCTTCTGCCGGTTGCGCAGCACGTGCGTTGAACAGTGAACACATACTGAAACAGCAGCTGCCAGTCAAATTACGAGTATAAGTCCCTGTCACGCTGCTGCTGTTTTCTGCTTGCTCAGTATCTCTCCAGCGACTCTCCTACATCCGAACATCTAAACCGTTTACGTTCAGCAAATTGGGTTATGTTAAATGATTATTTATAATATCATTAATTTTTTGTTTCGGCGTTTGTTGAATTATCATCGTTTATTATCGAGTCACTGTCAACTGTGCACCAGCCCGAGTCGGAAACTACAGGAATCGAGTCGAACCCATCTTGCGGAGCTTCGCAATCCGCATCAGAACTGCTGAAAGACGGGCTTATCAGGTACATTGCATATACTGCTTTTCTCAATGCAAACAGCAAACTGTCTTCCGAATTAGAAATCGAAGAGCCAAAAGCAGGCAGTCAAGTTAGCTTCCAGTTCTGTGCAGCTGACTGACTGTTATTATACCATGCCTGGGGTAGTGCGGAAGACGGTAAGACAGTGATGCTATGGTTTACCTCAATTTCTGATCGCAAGTTGTGTAGGTAAACTCACTGTACACCTGCAGTTAGGGCCTTAGTCTCAGAGAAATCACAACTGCAGTAATGGCAGTACAGAAATGTAATTATTATGTGGTGTTCGTCAGGTACGGAAGACTGGATACTTCTACTTTCTGCCACAATAATGCCGTACAACGATTGCCGAACTAACTGCGTCGATATTTTGAGCGACAACGACCAGTTCCACCGTGGGCGCGTGGTGGATGTGGCCGACAGCGGACTGTTCATTGACGTCTGTTCTAACCGCCGGCGTGAACTCATCCCCTTCAACCGGATTTTTCAGAATGTTAAGCCGTTGATGGAAAAAGACCTGGCCGAAGCGTACGCTCACGCCCGACCCAACATGACCATCCCGGTGGACGTGCTGGTGCCCGAGACACCCGGCGGTCCATTGGCTTGGTTCCCCGCAGAAATCGTCAACATGATGCGTGGGTTACGGCATAAAACCTGCAGCACTGTCGTAGTCCAGTGGGTACAAAATGACGTACCGTGTACGGATCTGGTGCGATTGAACCGACTGCGTTGGAGACTGGCAAGCGATTGGTGGGCCACTATAAGCCGGAAAGGTCCAGTTTTGCGATCGGTTTCGGAGAATTGGCATGATGGTATTTGTGAGTTAGGCAAAATGAGCACTTGGTTACAACCAGTTGGACCAGGCGCCTTCGAGAAGCGCAGTGTATCGTTGCCGATAGACTGCTGCCATGTGGATGTCGATAAGCTGATGCAGAACCTGAAGGGCAAAGCGTGTCGTAGCGCAACCGTAGAGAACGATGACCGCCCAGTTTATTTTGTGGACATAAAAGACGGTCGTGTCTCGTACCTTTGGCGACATCTGCCTAAGGGAATTCTGCAGGAGATTATTTGTTTCATTGACTTCGCTCAGGTAAGTAACTCAAAATGCTGCTTACTGAGTGGCTGGGGAAATTTGCGGATTAAAGTTTTTAAAAAAATTTTGGGGAAACATCGGTGCAGAAGGAAGACAAGTCGACGTTTTTCGCATTTGGGACATTGTCAGTGGTCGAAAAAATTTCCTGCGCTTAGACCTTTGATTGATAATCGCTTACTTTTGCAGTACCAGGCTGGTCGATGCCATGACGGACTAATCGCGCGTATCCGACAAATAAGTGGACTGCTCCCTCAACAAAGGGCTTCCCTTGTGGAGCGCGAGGAATCAGATAATCTACTTGTGCTGTCGACAGCCGTGCTGCTGGAAGTGTTTTCCCAATTGGACACCCACACACAGACCGGATTACATACGTAACGTTTGTGCTGCATGGAACTGCGTCTTGCAGTCCCCTGTGTTGTCGGTCTGCATCGTTGTTGCGAACTCTGGTGGAAATCGTAACATTTCGCTCGCCGATAAGTTGCACTGCTTTTTGTTGTCACCTGTTCTCAAGTTTCTCCGCAAACCGACACGATACATTGTAGTGGACAATCGTAATACCTGGATCGATACCGGGGATTTTCTGGCGCTGGCGGAAATTATGCACTATGTTGGCCAGCGAACAGGGAGTCGATTGCGAACGGTTTATTTGGTGGGACTCCGTTTGAAACTCCAGTTCGATAAGATCCTTGACTCTGAGGAGTATAAATATGAAAAATGTCAACTGCATCGCCACAGCGCGGACGATAACCTTGGTTTATCCCTGCCCACCTATCGTCTGGTCGACTTCATCGCCGCTTGTGGTAGCATGTGGTGTGATACCATTTACCTGGTCAACTGGTGCCTCGATTTAGCTAACGCTAAGTTAGACCGATGGGAAAGGATTCGACTGTCGGTTAAGGTAACGAAGGGCTCATTTTCAGTGAACAGTGATATGGGCAGCGTGATATGGACTGTACTGGAGAAAGGTGTGCCGCAGCCACGTCAGGAGCAACTTAACGTTTTGTCGTCATGGTTGGCGTCCGTCAGTGCTAATGAAAGCCATCGTTTTGAGAAACTGCTAGCCTGTAGGGTACGTTTGGTGCGCTGACTCTCAGCCCTGTTTTGAAGTAGATAACTCTTCCATTTTCGGTATTGCCTGTAGGGAAGTTGTAATTTTTATAGCAATGGTGCTCTTCGGGGTTTAGTTATTTTTTAGGTATAATTTAAAACAGGAACGTTTTGTAGGCTCTATGTGCAACGCAGACAGCTGACCCGCGCCGATCTTTGCATTACCGCGGCAAAGAGTGGTGTGTTGACGGCCTGAAAGACCTGCAAAGGGAAAAGGTGACTCCGGTGGCACTGCACTTCCTGATCCGACTGGCTGAATATTTTCTTCGACGATTTACGATGGATGACGACTCAAATTATGACGATTACGGCGGTTATGATCATGCGTTTGCGGATGATGAGGGTGGAGGGTATCATGATTCAGATTAAGTGTATCAACACATCCAATTTTTATTGGATAGGGTATTAGTTATAAGGACTTACAGTTTTCTTGAACCCAGACGTAAATTTGCGGTATCGTCTGCTCTAATAATATGGAAGTTGTAAATTGTTTTTTTCGGGCAGTGCGGAAAGCTGTGGTCTGGGCCTGACTGGCCTTAATTGTTGTGAACTTCAATAGAACAAGCGATATTTCTTTTTTTTATTTGCAACTACTTTGTAATAAACTCTCTGGACTTAACCTGTTAATCTTGGGTAACCAGGTAGTGAAGGTACAAGTCTGAAGTTGACAGTAACTGGTGTACTTTTAAGTTTTAATCATATCGTACAATGCGAATAGCGAGTCTAACAATACCATTGCTTGCAAACTTGGTGTATGGCTACGTGGGAGGCAATCGTACGAAAAAACCGGTGAATGCTCAAAATTTTAACTACTGGGGACAGCATTTTAATTGTGGATTCATCCCGTTTGGGAAATGGGTCTATCGTGGGCTGCAACCGGCAGTTATTAGAACGGTTAGCCTCGAAATATCTGTCAAGATCACATCGCAATGCTGCGCACTTCCGGACCAAAAAACTATTTGCTAAATTCTTTACGCAACAAAAAATTTAAATTGCACTGCGTCCTATCCAGGTCAGCCTTACCAGTTTTGAGCACTGTAGTCTGATGTATGTTCCGTATTAGTATTACTCGAATGCATTGTCTGAGGTCACCCTTTTTAGGTTCAGGACACTAATTGTCCCATTTTTCTGTTTTTCACAGTCAGCTGACCGGTGTCTATGTTCGTATTATTTCGGCAAGAGTGTAACTTTCGTAACCAGATCGAAACTTCAAAGCTTTGTAATGAACTTTGTTGTACATAATTTTGTATTATAAATGATATTTCCGGCCGTGATCTCCAATTATCACATCGCATCTACACTGGGCTTCCACGGACGGTACAATACATTTTTGATTTTCTGAACCAGATAACGATATCGGTTTATTTTAGCAGCCCTGCAGCCGTATATCTTATTGTTGGCACTCCTATCAGTCACCTTGTTATTGTTGCTATCATATTTTTTCTTATGCAGTATTTAATGTTATTGAATCTCTTCGATTTTTATGGCATTTGTTTGCCTTACTTGCATGTTGGAAAGGGAGAAAATCAGAAAAATATTTACGAAGCGGCTGTTTTGCCGCAGTGTTTGCGGCAAAATAGCTAAAGGCTATTTTAACGCAGTGTGCGGCAAAATAGCAAAAGGCTATTTTGACACACTGTAGAAAACTGCGGCAAAATAGCCTTAGCCAGTATTAAATACTTAGCAAAGGCATACTTCTGAAGTAGGTATCAAATGCAGATGGCGCTGCTTCTCTCGGTTTGGGCAGCATGTGCGCTCACTGTAATGAACGGCAGCTGCCAGGCAGGTTGACAATGACTGCCACACTGCTGCTGTTTTTCAAATTATCTCTCCCACATCCGACATTTACGTCCTGCAAATTAGGTTACGTTAAAGGCTTATTTGCGATATTTTTCAATTTGTTTCTGCGTTATCGAGTCACCGTAGCACTGCGCACCTGCCCAGGTCGGAAATTACAGAAATCAAGTCAGACCCCTCCTGCGAAGCTTCGTTATCCGCAACAGAACCGCTGGAGCACGAGCTTTTCAGTTACCCGGGCAGGGCCGTAGCGAGGGTATAGGCGCACTGGCGCGCGCCTACCCCTTCTCGGCCAACTTTTGACTAATATTTGCGCCCGAAACTGGCGCACAGGCGCACGGGCGCAAAATTTCTGGATTTTTCAAAGGGCGCAGCGGGCGCCACTGGCCATGCGCCCGTGGCGCAGAGTGGACTTTGGCCGATGTGCCTTGGTCTGAGGTACGGCGATCAGGAACTATAATAATTAAACTATATTTTATATTACTGTAATTAAAGTAGTAAAGCGCGGCCTGTTTATACGGGCGCAACGGGCGCAGGCTTCGAAATTTATGGGCACAGTGGGCTCAGACTGACCTTCGAAGCGGGCGCAAATGGCGCAGCCAAATTGCGCCTACCCCATCCCACGGACCTCGCTACGGCCCTGGGTACCCGTACAGATACAGCAGTGAAGCATATACACAAACTTTCTTTCGAAGCACCCAGAGACTTCAGAAAACTGTTCGTTTTCCATGACATTAACAATGTAGCACTAAAAAAGGTTAGAATGACCGTAGTTCCGTGTATCGAAAACTTTGAAATTAGTGACAGTTACAGTGTATAAATGAACGGTTTGCAACTGGAGCAGTACGCATCCCAGCGACAGTTGGTTCAATATTCTTCAGTGAAGAACTGAAGAATATACTAGATCTGAGCCGACTGTCGTCCGATTTGGAACTCGAAGAGCTAGAACGTAGACAGTTAAGTTAGCTAAGAGTTCTGTGCAGCTCACTAACTGATATACCAGGCTTATAACGGTAACAGAGTGGTACTACGGTTGATCTCAATTTAGATTGCAAGTTGTGTAGGTAGACTCACTGCAGGTAAACTAAAGTCCCAGAAAATTCCCAACTGCAGCAATAGTAACAGCTATACAGACATGTTATTGTTATTTGGTGTCGTCAGGTGCTGAAGACTGGATACTTTCCACTTTCGGGCACAGTAATGTCTTACAACGATTGTCGAACTAACGGCGTCGATGTTCTGGATGCCGACAGGCAGTTCCACCGTGGATGCGTGGTGGACGTTGCCGACAACGGACTCAGCATCGACTTTTGTCCCAACCGACGACGTGAATTCATCCCATTCAACCGAATCTTCCAGAACCTCAAGCCAATAACAGAGCAGGACCTGGCCGATGCCTACGCTCACGTCCGTGCCAACATGCAAATCCCGGTGGACGTGCTGATGCCGGAGACACCAGCCGGTCCGTTGGCCTGGTTCCCCGCAGGAATCGTCAGTGTGATGCCCGGTCTACGACGTAAAACATGCAGCATTGCTGTAGTCCAGTGGGTGCAGAATGACGTACCGTGTACGGATCTGGTTCGGTTGAACCGACTGCGTTGGAGAGTGTCCAGCGACTGGTGGACCACTGTAGGTCGGATAGCTCCAGTTGTGCTGTCCTCCTCGGAGAACTGGCATGATGGTACCTACATCTTGAATAGAATGAGCACGTGGCTGCAGCCACTGCGACTAGACGCCGTCGAGAAACGTAGCGTACCTCTGCCAGCAGACTGCTGCCATGTGGATGTCGATAAACTGTTGCAGTACTTGAAGGACCAGGCGGGTCGCCGCTCAGCCACAGAGTACGATTATTGCCCGATTTCTTTTGTGGATATAGTGGACGGGTGCGTCTCGTACCTTTGGCGACGACGACCTAAGGGAATGCTCCACAGCAGCACTTATTGTTATCTTGATATCGCCCAGGTAACCCAGAACTGCTCTTTACTGAATGATTATGATTAAATGCGCATTAGGGTTTTCTCAGAGATAAATCGGTGCCGAAGCGAATTTGGAAACGTTGGGTTTGATTAGAACTTTTGCCGGTCAAGCCGTTGGTTGACAGTAGCTTTTTTTGCAGTACCAGGTCGATCGATGCCAAGCGACCATACTTTCCGATATACGACAATTCAGTGCCCTGCAGATCGAACACAGCATGTCGCTTGTAGAGCCACAGGAAATTGATGATATGCGTGTGCTGACGTCAGATGTTTTGCTGGAAGTGTTTTCCCAGTTGGACACCAGGACGCAGACCGGATTACGCAGCGTTTGTTTCGCATGGAATTGCATCTTGGAATCACCCGTGCTGACGGCCTGCATCGTTGTTGAAAACTCTGGGAACTATAAATATTCGGTCGGCGACAAGTTGTACAGTTTTCTGATGGCACCGGTTTTCAAATTGTTCCGCAAATCCACACAGCACATCGTGGTGGACGCTCGCAATAGTTATACGGATACCGGGGATTTTTTTATGCTAATGGAGATGATACAGTACGTTGGTCAGAAGACAGGGATTCGACTGCGAACCGTACATGTCGTGGGACTATGTGTGACTCTGCGCTTCGGCAATATTATGAGCTCTGAAGAGTGCAAATATCATAAATGTCAACCAGGTCGTTTCAACACTGATGAAGGCAGCGGATTATTACCGCCAAACTATCATCTCGGCGATTTCATCACAGACTGTGGTGGTATGCCGTGCGATGCGATTCGTCTGGTCAACTGTAGTATCAATCTGGATTGTGCTAATATTGATAACTGGATGAGGATCCGGTTGCCCATTAACCTGGCGACGTCTAACTTCCCCGGGAGCAGTGATCTGGCCAGCATGATATGGGATACTGTCGAGAAATGCCTGCCTAGGCCTCTTGATAAGGATAAGCAGCTCCAGTCGCTGTCAAAGTGGCTAAAGTCTGTCGCTGCGGATGCGAGCAAGGGTTCTGTGCGGAGGTTCGCCGGTGCCGGTTGTTGTGGTACGACCTGGGCTGGTGGCGTTTGTATGGCCGTTCGGATTGTTGGGTATCCGCGGCCTGCCTTCCCTTCGTACTCCGGCTTTCCGATTGTGTACTGCCGGACATAGTCCCGGAATTCTGCCGGTGACTTTGGTATCCGGATGTTCAGAGCGCGGCGCAGTTCCGGCTCTTTCACATTCTCTCGCAGGAAGTGGAGAGTCATGGTGTCGTACGTACTGGCGCGAACGTACTGCAGGGTACGTACTGGCGCGAACGTCCGCTCGCGTGTTTTGTTTCCACATAATTCCAAATTTCCAATATCTGCATTCGAATGGTACTCTATCTGTGCGGAAAATCAGATTACATTTTTTAAAATACCGATTGACCTTTTAAGGTTTTACCGTGTCCGCCCCTACTTTAGGGGGAGTAGGAACAGCAAGAAAATTTTCTTACCTTACGTATGAGTATACGTTAAAAAAATTTTGTTGCTGAGCAGGATATACCGGTATGCAGTACACTTTCTTTAACCCAAGATTATTATGACTACGTATCAAGCCAAACACAAAACTTCGTTTCGATACATCAGGTATAGCGATTAATAAATTTCAACTATCTATACAATATTTTGGAAGCGGAAAATACTTACGTTGCTGGGTAGATTAATGATCTCAAACAGGCACCGCGTGTATCTGTATTAGGCACTTTATGACTAAATCTTTATGTCCGTGTTTAATTTCAAATAATATAATTTGCCCCCGCTTGCACTTCCATTATTCACTTTTCGCTTTCGTTATTCGCTTGCACATTTTGCCATTTATTATTTATACAATCCCGAATAGTTGTAACTTAGTTTTCGTCCCAACGTTCACGCTGCCGCCACCAGTCTTGATCTGTCGGCAGAATCAATGTGATACTTACTAATTCTACTGTAGGCGTCCGTCTATGAACCATACTTCGATAAATCGTATCCATGGACTCTCAGCACATTACAGTCACATTTTTGGGCTGCCCGTTATTTAAAACGGCTTTAATTTAATTAGCGGGGAGCCCATATATGTGACTGTAATGTTGTTGGAAGCCCATATATAAGATTTATCGAAGTGTACTGTATCCAAATGACCACGTATATGAAAAACGAAAGTAGGCTGGCCAGTACGAAAATCCACGACACCAGCAAAGGTCTAGCTATTAACTGCAGCTTTTGCGTTTAATTGTGATGATGGATCATGGGATGTTAATAATTTTGGTAGACATTGTGTGCAACACAGACCGCTGACCCGCGTCCATCCTCCCATTACCGCGGCAAGCAGTGGTGCGTTGACGGCCTGAAGGACCTGCAAATGGAGAAGTTGTCCGCGATCGCGCTTCACTTCCTGGTGGAACTGGCTGGATACTGTCATCGACGGTTGACATGGAATAATGACGATTACGGCAGTTATGATCATGGAGATGAGGAAGGCTATCTTGATGCAGATTAGTTCATTAAAGCATCCCATTTTTTTGTTGTACACCATGCTGGCTAGGACGACTAGTTTCTGTGGTTTATTTTTGCTTTCTTCTAGAACCCAGACTTACATTTGCGCTGTCGTCTGGCCTAATAATTTTTTAAAGCTTTTTTGTTTTAAAGGGGGTGATGATTGGTGTGGTATAAGTTTAAAGTGCGACCGGCCTTAGTTATTGTGTACCACTTCTTCATATAGAAGTATAATACTTACGGTTTTGTACTACGAGTACAGATTCATGTAACGTCCAATGTTTTTTTTATGGTTTTGCAATAATTATCGTCTTTGACTTGGACTTACGTTCTAATTATTATACAGTCTTAACGCTGTACGGTGTTGTGTAACATGTAACATATCATTCGTTCTTTTAATCCGAAATAATTAAGTGCAGCGGTATAACTGAAACAGTTAAAAAACATTAATTTTGACCTCTTGTGCATGAGGTCACACTTAATCGGTTCGCCATGCATTCACTCGGAATTAAAGTTAACAGGGAATGGTGTAACTGGTATACAGTAGATACTTTTATTCGTATAATGGGGGTAGCTAATCTAGTGACACGGTTGCTCGCAGAATTTTGCGGTTGGGCTTTCATAAATGGTACAACTAATCAAGGAGTATCAAAGAGTTTTCATACGTCTAACAACATTTTTAAATGATGCGTTCATTATACAGATTGGGGAAAGGACATTCGGTCGTGGGTTGCAACCTGCAATAACCGCACACTGAACCTCGAAACGATCTTCAAAACCATATCGCAATCCTACGCCCTTTGCTTTTTTCTACTTACCCAAAATTTTTAATTCTGATATCACACATGAAGACAAAAAATTTGACTTACAATGCGTTCTACTCGGCTAGTCTTGTGCTTACCAGTTTTGAGCACTATAGGCCGATTTGCCATAGTCGACCAAGTGAAAGGTGTAAACATTGCGCTGACTATGCGATGTGTTCTTTTTGCTGCGATGGACGACGTTGCCATGGATGAGGACCAGTGATCCTTTTGGTGCCGGGGCTGCTTCGAAGCGATCCCAAGCATAATCCGGCTGCGATCCAATCAGCTGTGTGAGTTCGGTACTCTGGGGATCTGGATTCCTCACAAAGCGGGATGTCGGCGGCACTATAACACATTGCAGTTTCTCGAATTGTGAATCGAGCATGCTACCGCTTTGACGTGACATGGAATATTTTTAGAGGAGTACATACAATGTGTCAGTCTTATTGTTAATGGCTGTATAGAGTACTATTAATAATTAACAGCTGCAATATAATGCCACGTGTAACGGCTGATTTTACGAACCATGTTGAGATCCTGGAATAAAATACAGACAACCGTTGTCTGTTGTGGCATCATCCAGCGGAATCCAGAATCCCAGCAGGCCGGATGGTGGATCCGTGTAGAGAAACGTAGAATCTTGATGGGGCAACACTTCCTGGCCGATTTCTGTTTCAAGAACGTGGCAGTTGTTAAAAGATGTGCTTGTCTAGGTATTGCTTAATTAACCTGGGTTCTTGAAAATATACATGCTCTGCACGAGACGTGGATCGACCAGTCCAAGTTGACGGCATAAGGCTTGCATTTTCTGGCTAAAGGTCACATTTTTAAAGGCAGGCTCCAGCCAGCCTAATGCATGGCCTTAAAAGTACCTTGAATTAGACAAATAAACAAAAGCAGAGCGCCAAATGCTTTCTGTCGATTAAAGCGATAAAAGTCTACCGATTTTGTTTAGAGCCGAACGTTTTTCTCTGAGAAGACCACCGTGTTCATCCACAGCATCCGGTTCGAAGAAGTAGCAGATCTTGTCGCCGCTGCTCATGAAGTAATCATCCCGGTGTTTACCATCTTTGGCGGCTGGACGAAAGACATGCTGGCTGTATTCGTGTGGATCCATTTGGTCTACCAATCGGGCAATGGTGGCTTTCATAGCGTCGATATCGGCATCGCCAACAAAATTGGGTATCACCGTGTAGCCATTCTCATGGAACTACGTATAGAAGAACAATTCAAAACACGACTTTATTCCATCTAATGCTCCACAAATAAATGGCGAAGTACAGCACGGATATGGTTACTAACTAACTCGTAAGTAATAATATCCGTGCTGTCGACTGTGTCGAGAATATAGGTTTTCTCTAATGTATTTTCGTAAGCTGTGTTCTTTTAACGAATGTGTTTTCGTAATTACGGAAAGCTTTACTGCCCAAAATATGTACAGTTAATAACTTCACACTTCGTACCTGCTGTAAGTAGACGGCGAAATTCATTTTTGCAGCCATTTTCGAAAAAGTTTGAACTCTTTTTTTGCCAAAACGGGCAAAACCAGTATGCTGCTTGTTTTGTCAACTTATCACCGCGTGGTTATGCTTGCTTTTACTTTCCAGAGCTTGCCATACGAGCACTTATACGAAGATCAAAATTGTAAGTATATGACTGTCTTCGTGGGTATTTACTATTTATAACAGGTGGCAAGGCAATGTACTGTAGATAAGATGTTAACCGCAAAAGTCGACCCTTGTACTTGAACTAATTGATTAGATGCGGATTGATAAGCAATAACACCTAGCCACAGCATCCAGATCAAGCCTTCTAGAAAACCTAAGCTCAAGATGAACCTGCTACAAACCTATTACAAATTATTGTGCAACTCTGAACACGTACAAACAACAATTCCTCAACAATTCGTAAATTTTGAGGCAGGAATTTCTGTGTTTTATATTTAGCAGTCCGGATCAGCAGATTTTTTGCGTGCATTAAGCGATAAGGTATTTTCAAATTATTGACCGATAAGACTTTGTAAAAACCGTTGTACAAACTTTTGTAAATTTTATACAAACTATAAACCGATGACATGTTGTTGATTACTTTAACACAAACTTTACTTTTCCAACGGGTAACAATTTAGATTATCATTTTGCTTCATAAATTATTAAATATATCGACAACTGCAGCAAGGAATTTTGATTCGGTGGCGTTTGTCTCGTTGCTCGTTTGATTCCGGGTACTAGTAAGAGTAGTGGTTGGTGTGGCTAGTATTGCACATGCTTTTACGGTGTGCTAAATAACTTCAGGATACGGCATTTCCTATTTTTCCGGTACAAAAGCGTTTTTGATTAAAGTGCTTTCAGAAGGGTTAGGTAGTGACCTAAAAATATTTGAACCAAGATACGACATGGTTACTTATATAACCAGCATTTCAACCTTTCAACTATACGTCTACAATTGACACGTTGCAAAGCGGAATCGTGTATTATTGCCCTGCATTCTGCAAAGCAAACCAATTACAGATCCACGATTTTATTTTGCATGTTTAATATGCATACGCCACTTACAAAGTATATGCGCGCTTAGGTGTTTATAAAATCCGATTAATTCAACTTAACCGTAACAGTATAACGGCTGTAACCTGTGCTTACGCCTGGCATGAACTGTATGTGTTAACTGAGGGTTTGCCATATTGGGTTACATATTAATATACCCGCGGTGAGTACTCGATATGTATTTGCTTTGGCACTTCGATAAATTACTTCCTTATGGCCTACGGCTCTGCGATGGTGAAGCTCTGACACTGTAATAGGTATTACTATTAATAAGTTCTAATTACCGAAATATACAGTAAAATATACAATATTATTAAATTATTAGAGTAGACTTAAATATACTATTACTGCATTAATGCTCGTAATTCGAAATTATAATTTTATTCTCATATGACGGAACGTACACTGCTATGGGCAGTGGTTTTTAAAAGCAGTTTCATATATTTCCAGTTTTATTCAGGATGTATTAAATACGAGTAGCATCTGTACGTATTCATCGCTGCATCCTACGATGCTATAAAAATGAAAATTATTTAACGTTTGTAGCACTATGCAGATGCAGTACAACGTGCGTATTGCAATATGTACAAAGTTGTATCTGTAGTTGCTCCTTTCATAGATGTATTGTACAGTACGATCGCACATAAAAATCATTATGACATTGTACAGATACTGTTTATTCGTCGTATATCTACCTCCTCGTTTAAATCAATTTGGCGATACAATACCGTCACAAGTTTCCATAAAAGTGAAAGAATTGTACTGAATACACAGCCTCAGCCGACTGCGGAAATGGGTGGCCTAATCACACAGAACATTTCGTCTAAGTTGGCCGATGCTGGTGCTGTTCCCATGACAGAGGCCGCGTTACCGCGTTGGACGTCAATGCTGATCCGTTGGCGCAAAAACTCCGTCGTCCGTACCTCGCCTGTTTCCTGTTGTATCATCTTCCCTACTTCGGTCACCAAACGAGAAGCATCCGGTCCGAGTGGTCCAAGTGTTTCGACGCCAAATGCGCGGAACAGGTAATCTCGAGTGAGTTCCCGATACTTCGCCACTTTATCCTGCTCTGCGCGCGCCGCGGCTGCTCCCGCTTGCTTCGATGTTGCCGCGATGTGCGACAAAGCTACCGTGCACACACATGTGTCGTCCCAGGTCAACATCTTTCCTCTTTCCCATGGGACCAAAGTCACTCCGTCGGGGCGCTTGCCATTGGTTAGGCAAGTACCAGGTGGTTCCAGTTCCGTTTCAATACCGGCGGAAGCAAAGGCGCGTTTTAAAGTGACATTGATGCAGCTGTGCCTGGGCTTCCGGCCCCGGCTTTTTTTACAACTCAGGCCATGGTATCCTCGCGCATCGGCCCATTCACCACAATTGCAACGGTGTGGAATGGTGACTGGTACGCCGAGACGCAGGCCGACAGCAATTCTGAGTGTGGTGTCGTTTAGGAAGTTACCGAGGGATGCGGCTGGAAGTGCTTCCAGCCATGCGCCATTATCCTTAGTGCTCACACCTCGAAGACGGGCTTCACTTGACATGTCTGACTGAGCTGCCGCCAGGAGGGTTTCCACCGTGCCGTGGATGATCGGTTCATCCCAAATCTTCTGGTGTTTTCTGGTTTCGAAGGCCGGAAGGTCCGCTTTGGTCATTTGTTGCCACTCTTCTGCGGCGCCGCAACAATAAATTTCCGGGTCGAAATCACACTAACTCGCTAGTCAGTTTAGCCACTGAGTA